TGCGAGAAGACGCCGAGGTCGGGGAAGACTTAATCTCAAAAGGTCTTTTTCCAGCCTCAATAATTCTGCGAGGAAGAGGAGTAAAGGTTGAATTTTGTGACGCCGTTGGAGCAGTTTCCCCCTGAAGGGCTGCACCCTACGGAGAGACTCACGTCGGGGCGGTTTGTGATGAATTATCTCCCGTGAGAAGGAGAGAATTCGAGGATAATTCGAGGATAATTCCACTCTTCCCAGGGGAAACGACACCGGATGAACTGACTTTCCCCTTGCGCCGCTCGGGTGGGAGGAGGTGGATAAACTGGGTGAGAAGGACAGAATTCGAGGATAATTCGAGGATTATTTCACTCTTCCCAGGGGAAATGACACCGGATGAACTGACTTTCCCCTTGCACCGCTCGGGTGGGAGGAGGTGGATAAACTGGGATGGGGAGAAGGTGTTTGTCGTTTGGTTTTTTTTAAAGATCTGGTTTTCTCTCTCACTATTCTCCAATTTCTTCTTTAAGAAATTTAACCAGAATTCGAGGATAATTCGAGGATTATTTCACTCTTCCCAGGGGAAATGACACCGGATGAACTGACTTTCCCCTTGCACCGCTCGGGTGGGAGGAGGTGGATAAACTGGGATGGGGAGAAGGTGTTTGTCGTTTGGTTTTTTTTAAAGATCTGGTTTTCTCTCTCACTATTCTCCAATTTCTTCTTTAAGAAATTTAACTAATTCCCCCCAAATCGACCCGGGACAGTAGATGTGGGTGATCTCCTTGTCCTTATCTCAAATTATTGGTCTTTTATTATATTTTCTTCCCTTTTCTAGCAGAGAAGGGGGGGAGACGGAGCAGCAGGGTCAAAGCACAACACGAACGCAGCAATTATTTGGCATTTCCGGCGTGTTTGGGGTTTTTTTTTTTGCAGCTGAAACACCAAAGGAGACGACGACCTGACCGATACGCGTAAACCGAGTCCTAAAAAAGCCGCTTCGATAAATCGAGGTGTTAAGATCTCAGATCGCCTGCAGGAGGCTGGGATTAAACCTTCAGGAATCTAAAACCGAGGGAAAGCTGTGGGATTTGTGCGGGAAAAAAAAA